GATGGCGTACAAATAGACCCTCCACCTTCTCCAAAACAAAAAGCATTTTCTGGACTTCCTGCAACTTCAGATTACGGCAAGACTATGCCCGCACTTAAGCTGTCAAACACCAGCCAAATTAGTCACTCCAACGTGGACAGCCTTATTGATTCTATCTGTAAAGGCCTTGGTGATGAGACTTGCATCTCTTTTGGTAGTAACTTGACCACTGGCTCAATATTCAGCCCTAAGCGATTCCTGCCTAAAACTATATCGGATGTTCACGAGGTAGATCCTTCTCGTCTCTCGGTCGCACTTGCCTCCCTTGGCTTGGCGTCTAACCCCCCAGCTACCACTACATCTGCCACAAATCCTACTTCCATCAGCGCTTCTGTAACTGCTTCCTCACAACTCGGCCGTTTCCGCTCCTCAAGTTTGGACAAACGTTTAGAGGCCGGTCGTCTGCTGGAGAGGCTACAGCGGAGCCAGAATAACCATCAATTCCCGAGTTAGTTTATTAATGACGTAACCGCCTGCCTCGTATGCCATTTCTCCGTGCCAATATCACTTGCTAGTTTTACCTCATTTCATCAAACATTGATAAGAGATGGTTTAAGCGATACAGTTTCACTACTTTCTGCTGTGTTTTCTGTCTCATAACTATCTGATTGAGTTTCAAGTCTTTCCGTAAAATGGTCTTGAAATGATCCGACTCCTTTTACACGAGTAATACCATGTGACCAAACCTAAGGCCACGCCATCTTGGTATTTATATCTACGATAGAAGAATATGCTTTTAAATTGTATAGTGGTTAAATCTACAAAGCTTGTAATATAGATGAAATTTTTATGTATGTAATTGATAGAAGTAGGAGCGAGAGAGAATAGGGCAACCAAATCAGCTTACTGGGTTAGTGTAATCAAGGTGTAAGAGGCACAAATAATAGGACGCTGCCGAAGCTTAACCCAGACACGACCTTAATTCAAAGTCAATCTCCGAAAGGACAGTCTCGTAGATATTGGCCCATAGAAATCCTTAAATGTTTCTATCGTTTTTATTAGAGGATCACAAATACTATGACAGATGACACGGGACTACGTAGGTTCAATAAGTTCTCCCTGCCTCTACGACCAAGTTGCGAAAACGAGTCCAAACTAGCACTATACAGCTAAGGGGGACTGCGACCAAACAGAAGGCCATACCATCTTGGTCTTCATATCTACAATTTTATTATTTGGATTTCACTTTTCGGTTCAGACATACATTTATCTATGTCCTGCCTTATATTTATCTTTAGCAGCCCATGCTTGAGTCTAGTAATTCTTCTTTTATTAGGATTTTTACATAAGCCGTTTTACCCTGGGTCAACCACCATACGAAGTTCAGGTTGATTTAGTGGGGCTTTTATTTCTACCATACTACAAGACTTAAGCCTGCATAATTATTTGAAGGTTTTCTTGTTGCCTTTATATGCATGGGTCTTCAACCATTTTTTTTCAATATAATGGTTATTACATACTTTCTTTTCGTTTTTTAATGATCATACAGTTACCTGCTATAATTATTTGGTCACATCTATAAGGACTGATTTAAAAAATATAAATAACTTGTCGTATTGTTTTACGGGAATTGATGTCGATTAAAGATTTAACTTGATTTCGCATTACATTTTATTTCACTATGGATAGCATATCTTGACTTTCTGATATTTCTGTCTCTTTAACTAGCCAACCTCAATTTTATGTAGAATCCTATCGCATTAAATTTGATTTCCCATTTTATCATGCCACATAAGTTTCTCAGACTATGCCCTTTTGTTATGCAATCGATTTTGCCAGCTGGCAATATTTCAGATCCCCATTCCTTTCCAAAAGCCAGCATCAAGCTACTTCTAACCAACTCCGCTCGGTTTCCAGAGCCTTGTCTTGTTGGCACCGTGACTACAATATGTCTTACTGCCACGGCTACCGCTAACCTTCATCATTCTACCTTCAAGGCTCCCGGTTCAAATGGTATCGCAAGCGAGTCTTCAGCTTGTCTCGACCTCTCTGCCCGACTACTGTTACCGCCCGACTCTGAAACTGGTTTATCCGAAGTCGTAATTCCGGTTACTTCTGAACCTGCAATAACTATATCATCAAGCAAGGGAAATGATACCTACCTACGACTTATATCAGCTTCCCAACATCCAATCCGGGTAACTAAAGCATCTGATCACCAATCATCGCAGGCAGTTTGGTGCCTCACTAGGCGGATTGTATGCACAATTGCTTTCAAACCCATGAAACCAGGAACGGTCTTTGGACTCCTAGAAGTGCGCGCACGCCTTATCTCAGGCCTTGATCGCTCGAGTACCGGGCTGCAGTTGGAAACGAATCCCTGTCTCAGGTCTGAGGAAGTTGGTTATATCAGTTTAACTGCGCTTGCCGTCTCGGCTCCTGTAAGCTATCTTTTTATTCATATATTTTTCTATTATTAAATAGTGTTTTGTTTGCAGTGGGAATCTATTAGCATGACTTGAATCTTGTCTAATTCTTTGAAAATTTGAGCCTTGCCCATATTTATACATGTTTGGATTAATTTATGGCTT